GAGTCAAAATGACTATTTTACCAACCTTCAGGTACTACTTTTTTCATTATGCCATGTCAAAATTCACCATTAGCGTTTGACTAAATATTTATTTTAACTCTTAATTTTTTAGCATTCTAACCTCCAACATTTTATTTTTGGATAAAATATCTCTTGGTTGAATAGAAATCATTATTTGATTAATTATTAATGTTAATTGTTGATGTAAGACTATCAAATCATCACTCTTAACACATGATATATATCACATCATCATTTTTTACATTATTATATCACATCATCAATGATATATATATCCAAAACAAACTTACATTATAATTTACCTGATTTTTTAATATATTATAGTTTCAAATATATATATAACTTTAAAAAATTAGAGGAAAAAGATTCCTTTGGGAGTCGAAAGAAATAATGCTTCACTACCTTTGGCCTAGATACTATTGAACTATCACATTCTGAACTGTCTCTACACTTGTAGACATTGCAAGTGGCAACAAACATGCCAATATATCATTGTTCATGAGAAAGACGTAGCATCTGGATGAAATCTTAAGGACCAATATAAATTGAAAAATTCAGATCATCATGTCTTTATTACATCAAGAAAGTGAAAATTCTGACGTCTATTTTGACTGTTTGGCATGCTCTGGTAGGAGCCATGGAATTCAAGATTATTATTAAACATATTAGTAAATAAATTCACACGTCGTCCAATGAATAAAAAAAAGTTCATATATTATCAATCAAACAATATAATAACTATATTTAAGGTATATATTTAATAAAACTCATCAATTAACCTCAATAATAAAAGGGAATATTATTCTCTTAAAATTCTAAACATATATTACCTTATAGCCCTAAACTATTAAATCAATATATTATTTATACACAAAAGTATAGTTCTCATATTTTTCTTTCGTACCAAACACACTCAAAATTTGTTTTATTTTTATTTTTTTCATTTCATTTTTCTATCGCTCTGTTTTTCACCTAACCGTTTTGAAATCTGAGTTCTAAAATTAGCTATATTCATTTTTATTTAATCATTTATTTCTATTATATTAATTGATTAATTTAGATCGGGAATTGTATAGTCCCGTTATGGGGACAATTCTCCAATCTAATTTTTTCTATTTACAACGCCTAAAATCTAATGCCACATTCCAATTCATTTACTTAAGTTAATATTTAATATTTTTATATATTAATTTTTTAATTTTTTACTCTTTTAAACGTACATATATTAAATTTTTATATAATATTATTATTTATTATTATAAAGTTTATGTTTACACTGTACATATTGAAATTCAAGTTTGGTCATAAATTGTGTTCTAAATGAGCCTCTCTCTCCCTATGTGTGTGCATATATATATTAGGATCATGTTATACAATGTAAAACTCTTTTATATGGGATAAGATTTTGTTACACGATGTGAAACTCTTTTAGTTTTATATAAATTTATGACTGTCGGATGAATGAAAATATATGGCTGAGACTAACTCTTTGTTTTTTTCTAGTAAATATCTTCTCATTTCATGTTGTTAATCTCAACCATCTATTTTCACTCATTCAACGATCCTAAATATATGTAAAATTAAAAGAATTTTACATTGTGTAACATGATTTTATCCCTATATATATATAATCATGTCTCTTAAAAAGAATGCCCACGGACTAGGTCAATCTAGTGCTCAAATTTTTAAAAAATTCCAGGCCCAGGCCTATTCAAATTATCCAGCTCTTTTTTTTATCGTCAATACATGAATAAATTAGCCCATGGGTTAAAAAACTTTATTCATATTTAGAGTGGGCCTAGAGCCGTAAATGAGTCGTGTCGAGCTTGACTTAAATCAAAAACTTTAAAATTAATTTTGATTCAACTCGAAAACTTGCAAGTTTAAAATTGTCAAGCTCTACTCGATCTCGAAATAAAAAATTAAAGCTCGAATCGACTTGAAAGCTTATAAGCTTAAAATTTTGAAGCTCCACTCGAAATAAAAAAAAATTAAGTTCGACTCAATCTCGAACACAAACATTAAATACGTAAAGACATATTATATATATTTCAAAAAAGAATGCCATGGACTAGGTCAATCTAGTGCTCAAATTTTTTAGAAAATTCAGGCCAGGCCTATTCAAATTATCCATCTCTTTTTTTTATCGTCAATACATTAATAAATAGCCCATGGGTTAAAAAACTTTATTCATATTTAGTGTGGGCCTAGAGCCGTAAACGAGTCGTGTTGAGCTTGACTTAAATCAAAAACATTAAAATTAATTGATTAACTCGAAAACTGCAAGTTTAAAATTGTCAAGCTCTACTCGATCTCGAAATAAAAAATTAAAGCTCGAATCGACTTGAAAGCTTATAAGCTTAAAATTTTGAAGCTCCACTCGAAATAAAAAAAAAAATTAAGTTCGACTCAATCTCGAACACAAACATTAAATAAAGAATGCCAATGGACTAAATCTAGTGCTAGAAAATTCAGGCCCAGGCCTATTCAAATTATCCATCTCTTTTTTTATTGTCAATACATTAATAAATTAGCCCATGGGGTTAAAAAACTTTATTCATATTAGTGTGGGCCTAGAGCCGTAAACGAGTTGTGTTGAGCTCGACCCAAATCAAAAACATTAAAATTAAAACTTGATTAACTTGAAAACATGCAAGCTTAAAATATCAAGCTCTATTGATCTCGAAAAAAAAAATTAAAGTCGACTCGACTTGAAAGCTCATAAGCTTAAAATTTTCAAACTCCACTCGAAATAAAAAAATTAAGCTCGACTCAATCTCGACCCCAAACCTTAAACACATGAAAGATTATATTTTTTTTGAAAAAATAACATATAAATGTTAATATTAATAATAATCTAATTACATTTTTAAATATATTATTTTTCGAGTTGCTCGCGAGCTTTTCGAGTCGAGTATAAGTAGTTCGCTTTGACGTTAAGAATTCGCCGATTCAATTTGATTCAAGTGTTGATGAACTTTGACTGAGATATCGAATTTATCGTGATTTAATTCCTGAGTGGGCCACTTGATCCATATATAAGTCTACAAAATTTCAAGCCTAATACTTTTATGAGAACTCTGTTAATTTGGACAAATTTTAAACTTTACGAATAACATGAGGTTTGAATAGTTCCATTCAATGTCACCATTTTAAATTCCATACAAGGAAGACTATTTGGAGTTGAATTTGTTAAATTTCACCTTTGATAAACCTTTTTTTTAATTAATTGGGGTACAATTAATAAACTCTCAACCATTTGATACTAAATATTTTTACCGAAGTCATGTTTGAACCCAAGGTCTTAAAGGATAACAATCATTCTTTAACCACTATGATCGATTGATTATGCTTAATTATTTAATTCTACTTATTTAAGGAAAATAAAGTTAAAAAAGTGAATATATATTGAATAATTTAATGTAATTATAAGTAGTATATGTTAATATTTTTTTTAAATTTATTGACGATGCACATACGCCCTATAAATATAACTATTCGATTCGAGATAAAAAAAACAATACTTTCAATTACTCTGAGGCCAGTAGATAATTCCAAAGCGAAAATTATTGAATGAGTGTCAGATTGTATTTACAAGCTTTGTGTTATCATAGTTATTAATATCGTTTACCCTAGTTTACAACTAATTTCTTGAAACAGAAACAGTAATAATAGCAGGCTACATGCATCCATATTCCTGCAAACCACTTTTGGGGTGGAAATAAATCAATATTTCAGTTTATCCAAAACAGAAGAGAACAGATCCAACCCTGTTTTTCCTCGGTGACAAAAATTAATTATAATATGTTGAAGAATGGGTGGGGTGGGATGGCTCATTTTCCACAGTAGGGTAGGTTGATGGTTTTGGGAGTTTTAGAGGTTGAAACGCAGTGCCAAATGCCCTAATTTATTAGGACACTGATGTGAAAGGCTTTGCCACGTACTCCACAATTTCAAACGAATATTTAACAATCATTCCCTTTGTTAAGGTTGCCCGTTTGTTAAGGTTGCCCGAAGTGCATGGTTTTCAGGACGTTTAATTAGCAAAACACAATGAGGCTTGATTGTCAAAGATGGGTAATGAGAAACCCATCATTTTGGGAGGAAAAACAAGCATAAGTGCTCAATCACATTAACATAGCCCATCAAGAGAATAGCGAGTTATCACTTGCCTATTAATAGTTAATGTTAGGGTAAACTACACGTTTAATACCTCAATTGCCATTTTTGTTCCGTTCAGTCATCCGATTATATCTTTTAAAAATTATACCTAACGTTACGTTTTGGTTTATTTTCGTCACCCACCATTAGAAAATTAACAAAAATGCTTATGTGGCATTTTTATTTTTCGATGATGATGTGACATTACCTTATGGTAACACGTTAGCGTCACCATTAATTTTTTAATGTCGGGTGACAAAATGAAACCAAAACCAAACGTTAGGTATGATTTTGAAAAAATAGTTTGGTGACCAAAATGGAACAAAAGTAATAGTTAAGATACTAAACATATAATTTACCCTTACTTTTATTCATATATATATATATATATATATATTATTATATTATAATTTATTTATGTTTTATACTGAATGACTCAGATCGAAGTAACTCGATTAATAAATAAATGTTTAAACTATATCTCTTTTTTTATTTAGATCTTTAATTGTTTTTATTAAAGTAAGTTACGTGTCAAAAAATCATTGGGTAACGCTTTCCCTTATGTATCAAAGATTATCATATAATCAGTTTATAAGATGGAAATGATGTTTAAGAACAATATAAAAAGAAAATTTGTCATTTTGATGAGCTTGCTAAACATAGATTATAAGAAACAAATTGTCATTACTGTAAGGGTTAACTCTAAGTCTATTTGTGTATGAAACAACGTATAATTTCTCACCTTTTCGTTAAACATCAATGGCAGAATTTCTAAATACATGAACAAATTGAGCTAATATTAGGCTCAGAAGGGTACTATATTCCACTTTGCGCAGTTTTCGGAACCCCAAAATCATTGGTTTTTTCTTCAAGATTTCGTAAGAACTCCCATGGCTAAAGCTTGTTCCGTGTTACTTTACTTGTCTTTCTTGTCTCAGGTGCATCTGTTGTTGGCGGCCATGGAAGCAAACTCTCTCCGAATCACTACAAATCAACTTGTCCCAAAGTACTTTCCATCGTCGGAGCTCGAGTCGAAGCCGCTGTAAAGCAGGAACCACGCATGGGGGCATCTTTGCTCCGCTTGCATTTCCATGACTGCTTTGTTAATGTGAGCATCATTGTTTCATAATGTTGTGTTCTTTTTAATGTATTGGATTCAGTCTTCAAGCTGTTTGATCTTTGGAAAATCTTGCAGGGGTGCGATGGATCGATATTGTTGGACGATAATTCGACGTTCACTGGCGAGAAAACTGCAGCTCCAAACAATAACTCGGCTAGAGGATTCGATGTGGTCGATGACATTAAAGCTAAACTCGAGAAAGCTTGCCCCGGAGTCGTTTCCTGTTCCGATATTCTTGCCATTGCTGCTCGTGACTCGACTGTCGTGGTAAGTCCACATTTGAGTAGATGTTATAGCCGTAATTGAGCGCAATGTGACTGAAAAAATGTCTATGACCACAATTTGAAGTTGGGTGGTCCATCATGGAAAGTTAAGCTAGGGAGAAGGGACTCTACCACTGCTAGCAAAAATGCTGCAAGAAAGCTCATTCCTGCACCCAATCTCAACTTAAGTGCTCTCATATTCAGCTTCCGTGCTCAAGGACTCTCACTGAAAGACTTGGTGGCACTTTCAGGTAAACTTGAACTCGTCAAATTCGATCATTTCGAGCTATGGTACTCGGACTCCGGTACTTCTTTTTCATGTACGTTTAGGGTCATATGTCTCAGTACCCATGTCAAATACAATAGTACTTTTAAGAATTTTGTATGCAGGTGCACATACTATTGGCCTGGCAAGGTGCACATCGTTTCGGGCACGCATCTACAATGACTCCAACATCGATCCCTTGTTTGCCAAGTCCCTGCAACGTAGATGCCTGAGAACCGGGAAAGATAACGTTCATCGATCCCTCGACTTACAGACACCAACTTCATTCGACAATTACTACTTCCAGAACTTGTTGAAGAACAAAGGTCTCCTCCATTCTGATCAAGAGCTTGTCAATGACGCTTCAACCAATTCCTTGGTCAAAAACTATGCTGCAGATTCTTCAAGGTTTTTCAAACAGTTCTCCAAATCCATGATCAAGATGGGGAGCATCAAGCCTCTCACTGGAAATTCTGGGGAAATTAGGATCAATTGCAGGAAAGTCAATTGAAAAATACCTACTGAGACAACAAAATGTAATAAAAAAAACTGCAAATTATGGTTCTTGTAAGAGGATTATAGGGTGTAGGACATCGGTAAACTAATAGAGAATGCAACTCTTATCAGAAACAGCTTGATTGATTAAAGATATGCCTGCAATTATATGACTATGATTATGATTAACACTAAATTTCGATAAATTTCTGCCGAATATACATCGCAGTAATCGATTACGATAGCATTCGTTAAACGAAATCTCAGGTCTGAATTAGATTTTGTTTACTCAAAGGTAGCATTGAAGGCTGAAGGAATCTCAAGCGTTCATAAGAAGATCCTGCAATAAACATGGCAACAAACTAAAGGCAACCGATAAAAGTTACTTGGCAACCCACATTATCTTTGTTTAAACCTTACACGTTTACCATTTCCTTTGTGGTAATCAATCAAATTAACGCTTTTACACAATATAAAAGGGGTATCACTTTGTTTCCAATATGATAGGCAACAAATTACATTCTTTATTCGAATCATTCGGTTCGACAAAGTGTTTTCATGGCTTGTTTTCTTTCACTGTTTCTTATCTTGGTTGCTGTTGTTTGTTCATTTCAAGCCAAAGGCCAACTCTCCCTTGTTATTACTCATCCACCTGCCCGCAAGCTATTATTGTTGAGGCAGAAGTCGCAGCTGCTATAAAGAACGAAACGCGCGTCGGAGCTTCGTTGCTGAGATTACATTTTCACGACTGTTTCGTTAATGTGAGTGCTCTTCGTTTTTCTTGAAATACTGTCTTGAACGGCCGTGTCGAATGCGTTCTCAGACACAAGTCTGAGTAACATAGTGTTCAATGTTTTCGTTCATTTATGTGAATCCTCGTGGTGAATAGGGATGTGATGGATCGGTGCTTTTGGACGATAACTCGACGTTCATAGGTGAGAAAACTGCGGTTCCGAACAATAACTCGGCGAGAGGGTTCAATGTCATCGACAAAATCAAAGCTCGACTGGAGAAAGCATGTCCTAGAGTTGTATCCTGCGCTGATATTCTAGCCATTGCAGCTCGTGATTCGGTTGTTCAGGTTAATAAACTAAGTTCTGTTGATGCTCTGGTGAAATCGATCTCGCATGAGGTTTTTAATTCCGAAACAAGACGATATCTCGTCACAAATTCTGGACGACGATCTTTGCATTAACAATGTTGTTGACTGATAATTTTTGTCGAGTTTGCAGTTAGGGGGTCCGTCATGGAAGGTAAGATTGGGAAGAAGAGATTCGACCACCGCCAGCCGAAGTGCGGCAAACGCCAGAATTCCACAACCAACCTTCAATCTAAGTGCTCTTTTTTCAAGCTTCTCAGCTAAGGGTCTCTCATAAAAGACCTTGTAATACTTTCCGGTAATCCGAACATTTCGAAGAAATCCGATATTTCATTGCGGTCACTATTTAAATCCCTGATTATCCTCCAAACAAGTACGCTTTAACATCGACTTACCATGGTTCGATTTTGGATTCACAGGTTCTCACACCATCGGCCTTGCTCGATGTACATCATTCCGGTCACACATTTACAATGACTCAGACATAGATCCCTCCTTCGCCAACTCGTTGCGACAGATTTGCCCGAGAAGCGGAAACGACAACGTGCTCGCCCCTCTCGATCGTCAAACACCGACTCGTTTCGATAGTCTGTATTACGGAAATTTGTTGGACAACAAAGGCTTGCTCCATTCAGATCAAGAACTCTTCAATGGGAATTCATCAACTGGTGATTTGGTTAAAAGATACGCTGCCAACACTAAATTATTTTTCAAGAAATTGCCAAGTCTATGATCAAGATGGGAAACATTAAACCTCTTACAGGAAATGCTGGGGAAATCAGAATCAATTGTCGGAAAGCAAATTGAAGAACATGTTTTCATTCCTGCAAGAAAGTATGAACACCAGTTTGAGATGACTGAACTGTTTGTACGATTTAAACTGTCCATGTTTTACAATTGTGTGAATGTTTGTATGTTTAGTAAATGAGACGTCTGTGCTCTTCAAGTTTCTCAAAATCGACTCCAATCAAAGTTAGAGAATCCATCTTAGTCATCGTCGAGTTCGAGCTATAACATCTCAAGCTATCAAACTCAACAAATTCGAGTATTCTAATACAAAGTTATCAAATACAAGTATCAAACCTGGATATTGTAAAAGTATATTTTTCATTAACATACCTGACTGCTAGAATTTCTGTCCCAAAAAAATTATCAACTTTAACCATAGACTGTTGAAAAAGAAGATTAGATTAGCAAAAGACACTAATTTTTTTTTATTGGAAGTTGAAAAGAAAGCAGATAAATCACATGAGCTCATTTAGCAGATAAAGCAGACAAAAATTAATGATTGCTTAATATGAGCTCCAATCACATGCCTGCTACTTTATTATTATATTGGAAAAGGGAAATTAATCATCTAGAGGCTCATTTAGCCTTACAGGGTAAATAGTTTCTTTCACTAGCCTCCATCCACCAGTCATATTCAAAGTAAATCACGTGACTACGACAACACAACGACGACGACGATTCAAACGTGGATGATTCACACAAACGGACTGCTGCATACCCCTTGTTGCTTCGGACTTGATCCAAGTAACGTAAGCCTAGCCTGCATTATTGGTATACACAGAAAAAACTTGGATGGACACACAGACATGACAAAAAGGTTCCTCCATTACATGAAAGCAATAATTCACAATTGCATAGGAACCAAAGCACGTGTTGATGCCAGTGTCGGCAGAGTATGATTTGCAGGAACTTCAATGTTGCTAAACAAAGAAAACCTATCAGTCAACTACGATTAACAACATCCACAAAGTGTAAACTAAACTATTATTGTCACTAGCTATAACTGGATGGACACAGTGCTGACTACGATGGGGAAGACTTTCAAGCATCTGATACTGCACCGAAATCTGTCGGTGATTATATATTTACAATGGGGAAGACATTCGTATCTGATAAATATCTGAACATGTGTATGGTGGGGTATTGTTGAGAAATCAGCTAAGTAATACCGGAAATAAACATGCAGTAAAAACAAATAAAGAACACAAAATTTAACGAGGTTCGGCAACATGTCCACGTCCTCGGGAGCGATGAGCGATTGTTTTCTTTTTATTCGCAATAATAATCACAATTAGATTACAATTACAGAATATAAAAGCAACCTCGGTTGGAAACATTTAGAAAATATTAAACATACTCATGTTAGATACATATTCGTATTTGATACTCACACTCTAAGTTAAATAAGTATATTAGATAATATTGCAGGGTCAGAGAATCTTAATTGCATTATCCTAAATCATGCAGTAAGCAACATAATCTTCAATCAATCCAACTCATCAGCTGATGCCACCTCTTATACTTCAAATGGACCAACCTTTGCAAAATAAGCTCTTTGCTTTTATTTTACTCCGTCTCTAAATATTGAACATGGGTATAGAAATATGATCCTATAAGGACTCCAAATGCATGAAAATCTTTGTTAAAAAATTGAACATATCCGTGCCCAACACACATTTCCGAAACTCGGAATCGAGTTCGAGTTACGTAGCTTTGCTTGTCAATGAAATCTTGGGCAAGTCATGCTTGGAAGCATATACCTCAATCTTCTTTTGGCATTGTTTCTGTGGGTGACATAACCAAAGTATTAAATCCCGGCTTAAAGATATTTAACCAGATATCTTCCAGGGTTCATGTTTGGAAGAAAACAAGCTTCAAAGAGACAAAAGCACAATATGACTTGATGCAAAAGCAAACATCAACATGTAGCAGGTAGCAAACTAATACTAATAACGTAAAGAAAGCAAAAAAGCAATTGCAGATAACAAAGTGGCATGTTACTGCTCTTTTGCTTCCCACATATATTCATCCGGTTTTTATGTTGAATACTTTAAGCAAATATCAATGTACTATAAAAAAATACTAAAAATGTAACAAATGCAAAAAAATGTTAATGATCCAACTACAGGAATGTATAACTTTGGGGTTAAAATGATTCCATGAAGTGAAAAGGGGAATACTCCATCGATGCAGCATTTTATCCCTATTCTTTCTTCTTTTCCACCCCTAGTGGAGTAAAATGCTAGAAACTTATAACGAAAAGAACAATAATTTACTGTCACCTGCCATGAATCGTATCTGAAAATTCTTAGTTGCACACCAAGGGAAGCAATTATGACAAGGGAAAACATTGTACATATACGCATCATTTACTCAACTCGGATGTGAGCATCAATATATATATGTATCCGACATAGTATGATGAATTTTTCTACGTTTTTTTCATATATTTGGAGAATCCTTGAAGGGCCATACCACCACACTTGTGTCCATATATGTGCCAATACAACTGATAAAGAGCTTTTAAATAAACTGTCTTAACGAAGGCCAAAAACTCGTGAAGATCAATAGCATAATATATTCAATACAAATTAAGAAAGTAGGAGAATCTTAAGCAAACCTTTCAAAGTAGGGTTGTGCATGATTTGGAGATATGATATATCTCCATCCATCTTTTTACTATATTAAAGGGAAGGCAAAACAACACTAATGTAAACAAGGGAAAATATTCAAAAGATACATCTAAGCAATCATTAAGCAATGGAGATCTTTCCAAATTAATGAATCAAGAACAAGAATATGAATAAGAGCAAAGATCAAATATCAAATATCAGAATACACAAGACCATAATTTTCAATGCTTTGATATAACAATACTATCACAAGATACAATGGCACAAAGACCTTAAACTTTTATGTTGCAAACATTGCTTTCAAGCTATTTCTGAATGCTAAACTGAAAGAAACTTGGCTTAGAAATATAACACACGGAATACTTGGGCTTCTAAAGAAAAACCGTTTAAAAGGGAACAATACTATTTCACTCTCATCACCTGCCATTTCCTTCAAGACTCATTATAATAGGAAACAGAAAATATGAAACCTTAGCAGACAATCAATTAGGTAATATAAGTCTATACCAGACAATTTTGAGCATAAAGATATAGCATTTTTCACATGGAGGAAGTCATAAGTAGTTTTAGTATCTGTATTTGAAATTTGATACAAAAGGACCATCATAAGCAGTTTAACAATCATTTGGTCAAGCACAAAGCATCAAAAGATCAACATTTCGGACTTTTAATTGATCTCACTTTGGAAGTTCTCAATTTTCATTGCCGACAACCTAATCACATGGAGATGAATGCTGAAAATCCATCTTCTATTTAATTGTAAATGGCTACTTGCAAACAACATTGAAGTACCATTTAATTGCATCATGACTAACATACCATGAATTGATAATTATTCGATTACACTTTCAATTTTCCTAACAATTTTTAAGTATCCTTTGCCTTCAAGAGTGATCAAAGACTACAAAGCATCAAACCAACAAGAACTGCACAAACAGGTCAAAAGAAAATCTTTTTTAGGATGAGCAACTCAAAGGCTCGGCAATTGCCTTCTTACTCTTCCTCCTTTCAGCAGTACAATTTACATGCAAAACCCATAAAATAGAGGAAAACCTGGCTCAGAAAAGGCATAGACATCCAACTTCACATGATTTCCACACCATAGAGTGTATTTCAACTACAATTTCTAGAGAATGAGTAGTTCTATATATCAGAATCATTAATCAATTCGCACAATTACCGTCTAGAATCCAAATAACTAAAGTCAAACAATCGATGTAGCTTGCATTGAAATTGAAGAAAAAGAATCATTGAAGTGACAAAATTAAATAACTAAATCCACCATAAGTTTAAAATCCGCAAAGCTAAAATGTTGCAAAATTTTAATCGATTCATCACCATTAAAGCAACAGAATTAACGTTATCTCCTAAAACCCAAATTGAGACTTAAACAACCCAGAATTGTCTTTTTACTCCTACTCTGACTTTTTTCAGTGAACTTGGGATTAGAAGTAAGACGATTAATGGGGTAATTGAGAGTGTATTGAACAAGGAAAGAGTATTAAAGATCGGGTTGGGATTTTGATTAAAGAAGTGGAGGATTGTTTGTAGCAGTGAGATAATGAAAGGTTTCATTTTGCTGGTTTTACTTCTTGTTTTTGTTGATGGGGATTCAGTTCGTCTTTACCTTATCTCAGAGAATCTGAGCTTGGGTTCTTGTAGAATGCATTGATGCAGCTGATTTTGAGTTGGCGGGAAAATGATACTCTTTTGTACTGCCATGAAAATGGGGATTCTGAGAAAGATGGGATTGTGGAAGAACCATTAAAATACTCTGAAGCAGCCCAAGCCGATATTTGAATCGAATGTTGTTGGCATGGGGAAGGCCCAATGTGCGCCTGAAAACACATTATATCTATAAAAATAAATTAAATATTTATATATCTAATAAAGTAATTAGATGACTTGTTATATATTAATATTTAATATTATATTTAAATTAAATTAATTAAACAAAATAAGTTTTATCTGAATTGAGAATACTCAACATTTAACTATTTTATTGGTATGATCATATATTAAAAATTAAAAAAAATTATTTAAATAAATCAAAAACTATAATTTATTATTTTGGCATGGAAGTAAAGGTGATCATGATTTGATTCTATTCCAAGAGTTGCTTTTTTTTAAGTTATTGTATTATAATAACGGAAAGGAGCTAAAAAGAACTATAACCTCAATAGCCTACACCTTTAATATCCAAGTTCAGTATAAGAGAAGTCAAGCTGGAGGTTCCTCTAAAATTGCTAACACTCGTTTGATACTAAGCCAAGTGCTACGCACACTGTTTTCTTTCATGAAAAATATAACATATTCTTTTGTCCAACCTTCTTTGGTGAATGTTTTTATAGTCTTTTTAGATGCGAATAGAGTGACCATCTAACATATTTCTAGTTATTCGAGTCAATTGTCGATTTAGATTTAAAATTCAAATCGAGTTTAAATGTATAAGATTCGTTTAATAAAAAACAATAGAATGAGGCCACTTTGATTTAACTAAGTAATTTGATTGTTTTAAAATCTTGTTTCTATATTCCTTACTTTTTAATTTCTCCTTCATTTTAAGTCCAATTAATCTAATTTTAATGAAACTTCCTCAACCGATTCAAAATACACGTGTAACTTCAATTTTTTACAACAAATTTCTTTTTTTTAAATTTAGTCTATCAATTTTTAGTTTTATCGATTTGATCCTCTGACTGCAACTCTTTACAATTCTTTCTTCTTTCAATTCTTTGATTCCTTTATATCCTTATCAACATTTTATCTCAAAATCACTATTAAAGAATTGTAAATAATATATATGATTTTATATGATATTTCATTTGTTTTATAACAGTTGAATTCTAGTCACACGTGAAAATGTGAAATATATATATATATATATATATATATGGTTTAGAGAGTCGTAGAAATTGAAACCAATTAGCATCATGTTATAAAATTACATTTAGATTTTAAAAGTAACTTAAAGATATATTAGACTTAATTTAATTGAAATTTCATAAATTTAACTCAAATAATTTTAATAAAATTTGAATAATAAAATACTCGTAAACTCGAATTTTTTTTCTCAATTCAAAAGAACAATCATCTTCACGTGGAAGAGGAAAAATCAAGAGAGAGAGAATGAAAACGTGTGGAGCAATGCTCATCTATTATCATTCTTTCGCCATGGAAGAGGCCAAATATGCTTCAGTTTGTATTGTAATATTTGTTGGGCTTACAGTTTTCTTAGCTCATATCTAAATAAGGTTAAAGATAAATGATCTGATTTTAGATCAATTAATTTATTCTTCCAAATACAATAGCACCTGAATTCCTTTGTGGTGGCTGGCTAAGCTAACCCCATTGGACCAATCAAGAAAGGCACCAAAAGCCAAAGAAAAATAGTAATTCCCAATGCCACCTGGTGATGCTGATCAAAAGTAGGACACTTTAGCTCCTAGTTTTGAGTGTTGGTTCAAATGCAAATGATCATGGATCTTCTGGCAACATGTGCAGATCCCAACACAAACCAGCCAACAGGTTTAACCTTATCCAACCTTCGGAGATTAAAGTGAAAACTCTAAAATCCAGGGGCCACCACATGCATCGCAAACACATGCACACATTTCAACCTCATTTCATTTTCCCTATAAATTACCTTCCCTCCATTCCTCTCAATCTCAGTCTATTCACACCTACTACATAGCAAAAAGTGATAGTAAGAAGAAAGATGGAGTCATTTCAGTCTTGGGTTTCAGAACACAAGCTCACTGCCATTGGTAACTTCACATCTAATTCCTTTTTGTTTAATGTTTTTTTCTTCATTCTCTTGACATGCTGCAAAATTTGGGTGTTGCAGGAGCAGTTTGGGCATCAGCAATTGGGGCATCACTGGCTTATAATAGTGGTGGAAGAAGCTCTCTTAAGCCAAGTCTGAGGCTTATTCTGCAAGGTTCTCTCACCATCTCTTTCTCAAACAAAATTAATTCAGCTCAAATTGCTTTGTTTTTAATCAGCAATTGTGTGATTTGATGTAGGATGCACTCGCAGGCCTTAACTCTGGCGGTGCTGTCTGGTGCAGCTGCGTACCATTACTGAAATAATGCCAGCAGTCAAGACAAGATCACCAATGCCTAGAATTCATAGCTCGTAATTGAAATCTTTTTTTTTTAAAATTTTTTTAATGGTTTGATGATGAAATGTTGGAATTAATGATATATCAGTTATAATCCCTGTTTAGTTGCTTTCATGTTCCCCTGGTCCCAATCTTTAACAATGGATGCAAGGTGAGAAAAATAATGTAAATGCAGTTTAATTCCAGTAGAAGTGGGAGAAAATGAGTGCTTTGAGATTGACACTTTGACAGAAACTCTCTATCTCTATAAACATTTATGGTGAAAAAATATGGAAGAGGAACTTAACTCGTAAAAGATTATTATGATCATAATATAAGCCAAAGCAGAACCCAGAAATGCAACACCTTGGACTTGGAGTCCCTACCTACTGAAAAGATCCCTTCTTCATTCAGCATTTATATGTCCACTGTGATTCACTCAGTCCTTTCCTCAACCTGATCAACCCAGTTCATTGAAAGAAAGAAAAAAAAACTTTGAAGCTGTTGCAGAAACTTTGAGCTCTCCCTACATAATGAAATGAGAAACCAATGCTTTATTCACTGAAACATTTATGCATGGAAGCTGTTGTGGTTCTCTCATGTCTTTCCCGGCCTTAAGACTCCCCCCCCTTTGGGACTGCAAAACCTCTAATGTTTGTGAATGCAAAGGATGTGAAGTCACTTGAGGTTTTGGAAATTAGGGACTGTCAGTTTTACAAACTTTCCCTACAGAGGCACTGCAAGCGTCGTAACTCGTAACTGACATCACTTGTTTTGTCCAACTGCAACAGTCTCAAGTCACTGCCCATGGATGCAAGACCTCACATCTCTTCAATCACTGCTTATAATCAACTGTAGCATAGTGGAGTCACTTCCACTATGGCTGCAGCTTCCTTCCAGCTTAAATATACTTTGTATCTCACTTTGTGACAAATCACTCCTCAGACGTCATGGGAATTATGTAAACTTCCTTTTCTTGACCATTTCGAGATCGAAGGTGAATGCCAAGAACTGTCGTCATTCCCGGAGGATGGCATGCTGCCTACAGACTTAAATGTTTACGCATCGGCAGCCTTCTGATTGCAACGAGCTGCGTTCGTTGCCAGAAGATGGATTACCTTCTTTCCGTATTATTTCATATCATGGGCTGTTCTTTACTGAATCCGAAGGTTCAAAAGAGGGAACAAAAGGAGTGGTTCAAGTTAGCTCATACCTCCATTCAGCTTGGTGATCTGTAGGTAAGGAAACTAAAAATCTCATGGAAGAGTAATTGAATTTATACCCGAGTGTAAGCTGTGAAACATGATTGACATGAAAAGACGTCACTGAAAGCAGAATAGTTATACGACGTTAAAGCTTGTTGCACTGGAGCATTTTGGGTTTATATTTGATGATTTTTAGATGGCAGCAGCTTAACACTTGTTCAAGGAACTGTTTTGGCAGTTTGACATTTTGAGCAAAAACCTTTTACCCCTCTTTTAGGAGTTAAGATCCTCTTTACTACTTTTTTTTCATCCATTACTTTGCAATTAAGTCATAAACCATAACTGGTTTAAAGAGAGTTTCTGTCAATTTCAAAGCACTCACTTTCTCCCACTTTTACAATTTACTGGGATCAAACTGCAATCATTTGCATTATTTTTCTCAGCTTGCATCCATCCTTTGTTAAAACGGGACCAGGTGAACATGAAAGAAACTAAACAGGGATTATAACTGATATATCATTAATTCCAACATTTTCATCGTCATCAACCATTAATAAAAGAAAGATTCCAATGTTACATATTATGAACTATGAATCTGTTCTAGGCATTGGTGCTGACCTTGTCTTGACTGCTGGCATTCTTTTCATAGTAATGGTAAGCTGCTGCAGACAGCACCGCTAGAGTTAAGGCTTGCGAGTGCATCCTACATCTCAAATCAAACACCTTCTAATCATCAATCTCCAACACATAAATACTGATTAAAAACAAAGCAATTTGACCGTGGTTTTCAGAAAGAGAATGGTGAGAACCTTGCATGATAAGCCTCAGACTTGGCTTAAGAGAGCTTCCTCCACGACTATTATAAGCTAGTGAAGCCCCAATTGCTGATGCCCAAACGGCTGCTGCAAGACCCAAATTTTGCAGCATGTCAAGAGAACTGAAGAAAAGCCAAAAATTGTTAAACAAAGGGAATTTTATGTAAATTTACCAATGGCAGTGAGCTTGTGTTCTGAAACCCAAGACTGAAATGCCTCCATCTTTCTCCTTACTGTCTCTTTTGCTATGTGGTTGGTGAAGTGAATAGAATGAGATTGAGAGGAAAGGGAGGACAGACAATTTATAGGAAAAATGAAATGAGGTTGAAATGTGTGCATGTAGCCCCTGGATTTTGAGAGTTTTCACTTTATAATGAAACATTGGATAAGGTTAAACCTGTTGCTGGTTGTGTTGGGATTCCGGGAAATGATAGTATGCTGCAATTTTAATATACGATTAAAAGATATTATTGATTTTATTATTATTTAAATAATAAAATTGATAAAAAATTTATTAGAAATATTATTATTTTTATCAGTTTGTTATTATTAGATATTTTACATGTTTTGTTAATAAAATCGATAAAATGCTATCGTTTTTATTATTTTTTTATTAATTTTATTATTGTTGGATACTTATCAGAAAATTAAAAAATTAATATTTTAGATAGAAATAATTTTTTATTAATTTTATTATTTAAATAATAATAAAATCGATAATATTATTTTTAATTGTATATTAAAAATGTCGGAGAATTTCCAAATCTCCACATGTTGCTAAAAGATCTTGTGGGCTCTCTGCATTTCAACCTGCACTCAAAACTAGCAGCTAAAGCGTCCAACTTTGATCAGCAATCATGGTGTTGGCATTTGGGGATTACTATTTTCTTTGCTTTTGTGCCCATTTTTGATCGGTCCAATGAGCTTAGTTTTTTTTTAGTGCGTTTAAATTTGATTCAATTTAAAAAAAAAATATATTATAGTAAATAAATAATTTCATTTATTTTTTATGTATCAATTTAGCTTTTAAAATCATTTAGGAACATCATCCTAATCCTCGAAGTTCATTGATCGTTCTGACTAATAAAACTGTTAGTCTTATTTTTTGATTAAATGATTATGTTAAAATTTACTAACCACAACAATAAAAAATTCCAAAATTTTATTATTATTTTAATGAGAATAAAGAATTAAGTTAAAAATTTTGAGATTTTTTTAAACGTTGTGTTTAGTTCATATAAATATTTTATTATTTATTTTTTTAATAAATGTCACAAAAATGGTGATCATAGGTGATTGACGATAGCTTAAAATAGATTTGAAATTAAGGATTTTAGAAGTTTTTGATTTTTTTATTTTTTAAAAAAAGTTGGATTTAAAAAAAAGTAAATTATAATTTTAAATTTTCATTTTAAAATAAATAAGTCTGATACATATTACTTAATAGTTAAATTTAATGACAGATACCCAGTCATCTAATATAACTTTGTATACTTTTAAGTTGGGCCTTTATTTTAATCATATAATTTAATAAGCTAATACAACAGTAGACTCTACTGGGAACGAATCCAGAATCTCTAGTTCCGTAGACCAGCACCTTATCCATTGGGCCACAGAGTCCATGTCTTAATGTTGAAGAATAATAATATGAACTTCTATAGATTACCATACTTGCGAAACTATTAACCTAGGACAAATACTATTTACAAAACTTAATATGTTTTTAATAAAGATATAATCACTTTAACAGTCGTAGATGTGATAATCGGATCGTTTAGGTTAGATCAATTTAAGTTTAAATAAAATTCAATTTTAATGGAATTAATTTAAATTTACAGTTGGTCGAATCAAGTTAAATATCGTATGTATATTTAGAGTAAATTTAGATTGAGTCATAACAGATCAAATCCATATCCGTAGACATTATTTAGGGGATGAACACTTAAGTGCATATGGTGTTTGACATATGAAATATCAAGTGGTTAAGTATAATGTCGGTATATTTAATAGTAGACAAACATATATAAATATACTCGAATTGTGTTCTCTTAAATGTTATAATAACAATAATCTATGAATCAATCGAATTAATCACAATATTTTTATATAAACTAATGTATTAATAAACACAACAAAATATACTCATATTTTATAATCTTCCTTTAATTATCAACTAAAATTAATGACCCATTAAGGGGGCACTTTTATAATCTTCCCTTCTATTTTAATTATAAACTAGAATAATATTCTATGTATTTTTCGGAAGAGGAAGTTTGGCAATATTATAAGTTATAACGGCTGGCGGAACTAGAGAGCCAGGTCCGATGGATTCAATTTAGATTTCTTCAAGAAGTTTTGGGTGGACATTAAGGAGGAAGTGATGGACTTCTTGGTGCTTTCTTTCACGGGAAGATATCGGATCTCTCATTCAACTATTCATTCATTGCGTTGATTCCCAAAAAGAGTTCTCCAGATTCGGTGGAAGATTTCAGGCCTATATCGCTGGTGGCAGCCTATAAAGTGTTGGCAAGAATCCTCTCGAATAGATTAGCTGGGTGTATTCATGAAGTAGTGGGCGATACCCAATTTGCTTTCATTGCCGGAAGGCAGATCATGGACTGTGCGCTTATTGCGAATGAGCTTATTGATGATTTGCGTCGTTCGAATAGGGAAGCGGTGATCCTTAAAGCAGATTTTCGCAAAGCATATGATTCCGTCGATTGGGTTTTTTGGACTTGATTCTAAAATACATGGGATTTGGCAAAAGATGGAGGAAGTGGATGAATTTGTGTATTTCGACTGCCTCTATTTCTGTCATAGTGAATGGTTCCCCTACGAATAAGTTCATGATAGTAAGGGTCTTCGGCAGGTTGTCCGCTATCTTCCTTTCTCTTTAACATAGTAGCGAAGCGTTAAGTGGGCTGATAAGGAAAGCAGTGGAGATTGGCTTGGTAAAAAGGAGTTCAAGTTGGTGCGATTGATCTCACTTTGTCTCACATCCAATTCGCGGATGATTTGATCGTCTTTTCCAAGGTTGACTTGGAGTCGTTAAAAAACATTAAAAGTTCCTTAGAGTGTTCGAGGTTGCTTCAGGTCTAGTCTGAACCTTAGTAGACTCAATTGTTAGGGGTTAATGTGGATGACAGTCGTATAACGTCTTGGGCTTCAGTGATCAAGTGTGGTTGGATAAACTCCCTTCGAAGTATCTCGGGCTCCTGCTTGGCCATCCGAGGAATTCAGTCGATCTGTGGAAGTCTGTCGTTGAGAATTCAAGTCTCGCCTTGATGGTTGGAATGGAAAACTCTTATCGCTTGGAGGTCGGGTTACGCTTGTGAAATCTGTTCTCTTCATTTGGCTGTGTACTTTCTTTCGCTTTTTCAAATGCCGATTGGAGCAACTGCTAAACTTAATAGCATCATTGCTAACTTTCTGTGGAGTTCTCGTAGTGGCAGGCATCCATTGGTTGAGCTAGGAGAGAGTGTAAACCAAAATTCAAGAAGCCTAGGGATAGTTGATCTTCGAGTGCGTAATCGAGCTCTCCTAAGTAAGTGGTTACGGCGTTTGGTCGGGAACGTGACAGTTGTGGAAAGAAAATTATTGTTGCTAAGTACGGTTTAGACAATCACTCTTTGATGTTTAAACCACAACTCCCACAAAAGGTCTTGGGCGTGGAAGAGTATCTTGAAGCCTTTGTCTCGTGATGATGATCCGTTTAAGAATAACATTACAATTGCTGTTGGGGATGGCAAGTCTATCGACTTTGGGAAGATTACCGGACCGACTTTCCTTGTTTGAGAGTGGCTTTCTCCAGGATTTTTGGGATGGCAATTAAAAAGGCGGGAAAGTCTTGGATTTCGCTTTTAAGTTAAACGGGGTTGGTCTTGGAACATAGAAGCCAGGAGAGTTTTTTGATTGAGAACTTAGCATGTGGGAGGATTTCATATCAATTTCTAAATAAAGCTGTGCAGTTAGTCTTGATGCGGATAGCTTGTGTTGGCTGGGATCTTAGAGAGTTCCGTTCTCTGGTTGTGGGTGAAGAGGCTGCCAAGGACAAATTTTGGAATTTGGTCTGGTCAACCTTGCCCCTCCAAAGGTCGAGTTATTCGTTGGAGAGCTCTTAATCGAATCCCGATTCTAGAATTGACACAGCTTGTAGCTGATTGCCCACAGAAACACAAAAAAATAAGTAGACGTAAAATACAAGGCATAATATCAAAATTAACCCCAACGTTTATTAAAATGATCATTTTGACCATTATTTTTTTAGAAATTATGGCCCCTAATATTTTATTTATGGGTAAAAGGCCTCTATCTTTGATCGAAGTCACTTTGACTTTTATATTTTTTTTTTAATATTTTGACCATCAACATTTCATTTTAAGATAAAAAATCCTATGTTAGAGTATTACTCGTTTGTTAACTGAAATTTTCCATTACAGGAACCTTTTTTCCCCAGCATGAAAAGTTAGAGTTAAATTGTTCAAAGAAAAGAATAGAGACCAAAGTAATTATTTAATTAAATGTAGGGGCTTTTTGATATTATTCCTTAAAAATGAAAACCAGCCTGGAGCCCACAAAGAGGGGTTTGAGCTGAAATAAAGCAAGCAATGTAGGCCATTGATGGACTAATGGTAGAATAGCCCACAACTAACCGGACAGTCTAACAATTAGTCGAACAGATTTAATTGCTAAGCAGTTAACATAACTGGGAATCCCGGGAGAACACCTCCAAGAATAGAATCTCAAACGCCTTTTACCTCTTACAAAACCACGACTTCTTAATAAGTTCTCTCACATGTTCATATGATCGGTTAGAACCGAATTAATTGATAATTAATCATATTTATTAGTTCTATCAATTTATGAATAATTATTATGATCTTTCATCTAACATTAACACTAAGGGTTTTGGTTTACAGAATGTAAGATTATCGACGAGATTAGGAATACCGGCGGGAATAAGATTACTGGGAATGTTGTATTTTGTGTTTAGTTCGTTTAGCATGAATGTAAGATTACATTGTTTGGTTAAATGAATAGAAGATTATTGGAATGTATATTTTTACCAAATTGTCCTTATTATATATTTGTTTTTTTAACAAATTGAATTCTACTATAATTAATTTATATATTTTCTTTAAAAATTTAAATTCATAAATTTTATATAATTTTTTTACAAAATTGAAAAGATAAATAGGTTTAATGAAATGGTAAAATTTTATTTTAACCCATGAACTTCATATAAAATTTTAATTATGAATTTTTTTAAAAATCTAAAATAGTTTAAAGATAAATTTGTAATTTAACCTTCGTAGAATTTTTTTTATTCAACGACAGAAGAATGATATTTTTGAAGAAAAAAATTAAGGGCATTTTAGTCTAAAACGTCGGGAATGTAATAATACCTTAGGAAGGGGATAATCACATTTCCGATAATATACCCCCAAAATATCACTGTTGGGAATAACTTATTACCGGGGGGCTGAGAATGTTTGCTAACCAAACGAGAGAATGATATTTCATTCTCCCGGTAATGTTAGATACCCTGAACCAAATGCCCCTAAGATCACTATAAATACTTTTAGTTAAAACTAAAAGTGAGATTTGGAACCACACTAATCACTTCATCCTCCTCTCCCACATGGAGACTGAGGATCATAACATTGGCCAATCGTCATCTAACTACTGATTACGATTCCTTACCTAAATTAAAAGGAGTAAATAGTCTACAATTATCACAAAACCTTTTTTCTCATCAACAACATTAAATTGTTTAAATAAAATAAAAGATTTGAATCTTAATATTGTGAATGGAGAAAATTGATTGGGGATCATTCCACAATTTACAATACCCAATTAAAATTAACCGGTCAATAGATTGAATATTGATAATTATACCAAAAGATTAAACCAATTTCCAATGGACACAAAAATATCATATTGATTCAAAATTACAAGTGCACAACAAGAAAATAATATTCTTATATATGGGGGTTGATTATTTTTAAACACTTTGTATAAACATAAAATTATAAAATTATGTAAAATTAATATAATTTGACAGTAATATAAGTAAATCTATAAATTATTTGTATAAATACTGTTTATAAAATTCTTATGAGAACTTATTACTTGATGTTAAAGTTAACCAGGTATAAATTCAATCAAGAAAAAATCATTTGAAAAACAAATATTATTCTAAAGATGATTTTTAAGTTCAATATTTTTATAGAATTTTTTCTTCTATAATTATGTTCCATTGTATCTCTCAGTTTCTGCAAATTCGTATTCCGCTTAAATATCATAAATAAACCCCATAGTTTCCCTCACAATGTGATATCTTTATCTACAAAATTTACAGAAAAATATACCACAAACATATATATATATATATATATATATATATATATATATATATATATATATATCGGCTTTCAATTCTGGACTTGTCTCATTGTTCTTTCCAAATACGGCCAGCCACTTTCAGCTTCAGTTCCTGTCTGTCACCACCTGAGAAGAAGAGTGCCAGTTTCCGTTTAATGATAAGTCCGTCTTGACTATCACGAACTTTCCGGTGACTATCACGAATGCTTCTAGGCACCCCTTGCCACATAAGCTTTCTGCCACTCCCGCCAACTTCCAGACTATAACTAAATTGTCTTGCCTCGTCTTCATCGCCCATGAACCGCAGGAATGCCATGTAAACCGGTGCCATTCCTATGTGGAAAGCCTCAAAGTGCAAACAAAATTGTCGTCCAAAACAATTGAAAACCTGCACCAGATCCACATAAAAGGATCAAACCAAATAAACTGCATTGATACATACTATACCACTCACTTTGAAAACATATATGGACTCTGGCCACATTACATCAAAGAATTCATTCAATTAATCAGCAGAAGATGTAATAAGGAATGTTGCAAGTTTGTGTAATGTCACAGATAGGACAAGAGATCTCACAGTTAACATCCACGTGGCATTTTCTACTTCGTGGGGGTTGGATTTGACGTATCGGTGGTTGAAAGTACATCCGTCATGCATGTCGACCTTGTGATCATTATTGAGATGTATGACTATGAAAGGAATATCACCAGTGATAGAGCATTCAGCTCCAGCATACGGGCAATTATACGGACGATACCTGCAGTTTTTTTCGTGCTTGAGCTTGCTGTAGTATGGGAAAATATCATGACAACCCAGAATCTGGTATCCGCAGGGAAGTTCCAGTGACTCGGCTACTTTCTCCAGAGCCAAACACCTTATATTTCCCAGCTCATTTCGGCAAGTTGGGCAACAGTTGTGAACTCTAGTCTTGCATTTCGAGCAAACGGTGTGACCATTGGGACACTAACATAGAAGATACCAAAACTGTCAATAGAATATTGTTTAAGTATAAAGTTGATGTAATGATTGTGATGCATTGATGTGATCAAGGAGATGCAAATGTATAACTTCTAAACACACTTTTAATCTTGCTGCCCAGTTTACATGCTACTTGGACTTTAATAGTCGAGTGTGAACGTCGGATGCAGCTATGTATCCAACTTTATTGAAGTTTATCCATATATTTGAACAGTCCTTGGAAGGTTTATATCCCCACACACATGTCCGAATATTCGTCAAACACGAGTGTTAAACATGGTTACTTTTAAGGAAAATGAAAATTCAGAACAGAGTTTTAGGCATCCAGATAGTTCGGTTAAGAAGTAGCATAATCACAACATATCCACAACCAAATAGAAGTAAAAATATTAGCACCTTCTCAAATACTTCCATGAAGTGAGATTAAAATCCCAGTGTCTTCTGCATAAAAGATTTTCGGAGAAAAAGTCTCCAGCCTTGTGCATAGATGCGATGTTAATCTCTTCAATCTTGATTGATCAACACAAATATAGATTGTTTCACTTTGCATTAAACATGATACCGAATACGAATGCATACCAATTTGACCATGAAACAATTATAAATTTCAATATTGCATTTCCAAATACTTTATTCTTGGCATGTAACGTGAATCTACCTGGTAAATTGGAGGATACATAAAATTTACGCAAACGGGACACTCGAGTAGTTCATGGACATCGTTGATCGATGACGATCCCAGTTTTCCACATAAACCAGTTGCAGCTTTTCTTAAAGGGGAACCTCTTAAATCCGCACTCGAAGTCACCATATCGTAATCGGCAAACGTGAGACGGGACTCGATCATCTCTTTGCAGATTCCACCACCACCAGGAGCCATAATTCTAGCATTGAACGTTAATGCCAGCAAAGAGCAAAACACTCGTTTTTAGATCTCGTATAGCAGCAACCACGCACAGGGGACGAATAACTTAAAACTAGCAACCAAAAATGGAAAGAAACAAAAAAAAACTGAAATAACCCAAAAATGGAAAATTTACTAGCAGATCAAACATTCGATATACATGGAAGAATTTCCCCCTTTCATTTTCTTCCAGGCAATTTCCTATTCTAAGCTACCAATAAATGAAAATTGAATCAAACCCCAAGAAAAACCACCAAATGAAACAAAACGCAGATCAAATATGCAACCAAAAATCAAAAACTGAAGATCAATCGATAATTAAAGAAAAACCCAATCAAGAAGAACAACACCCAAAGGAAAATCGAAGCTCAATAGCACAAATCCATCAATAAATCCTTACCAAGATGGAAGATTTTATCAGGCCAAAACCCAGATTGCAATTACATATGAAATTTGGAATATTGGATTAAATCCAACTTTTTTTGGAAGTCCCCCACTGCAATAATTGAATCAGATTGCAGACAAGGGATAAAGGGAAAGGGAGTGATGGGGTAAACGCGAGGAGAAAGGCCTGAAAAGCTTCATAACAAAAGAGTCAAATTTTGAGAGATTTGGATTCTACATCAAAGTATATACACCTTGAAATTGGACAATATTGTAATAAGTTGTCCCAATTATGAGTTGGCTGATAATAATGACATTATCCTCTCCCTTTTTTTTCTTCTTCTGATGAGATATGAGATGAAGAGATTGTCCACTTGTTCTGTAATAAGACAAGAAAATGTGTTAATTGAGGATTTGAGCAATTTTGAGATCAATTAGTGTCTCACATTTTTATTATTTTTAATTGAATCAGTTTTCAAATTTTTAATTGTTTTTTTATTTTCATTTTAATAAAAAATATTAAATTTCGGAAAAAAATATTAACTTTAAATTTTAAAAATATTTTTAATCTAATTTGAAGAGTAATCTTTGTTTGAAATATTATTCTTATACCATAAGCTTTCGATTAAATCATAATGTGAATTCAAATTTATTGAGTGATCTCGATGATAAAAAATAATAATATTATCCTTAAAAGACTTAAGTTTAAACAATTGTATGTATATGTAGGATATGTGTTCACTACCAATAGACACTAAGAAATTTTTTGAATAGATACAATTGTGTAATCACGTCAAAATATTAAAAATAACATAATTTAAATTCTTACTCGTTATTAGATCAACGATACATATTTTAAAAATATTTTAATTTTAAGACTGTTTAAATAAGGGAATCTAATAATTTTAATTTTATTAAGAATTTTAAAATTTTCAAAATCTATAAAGAATTTTGATAAATAAAAACATATCATATTTGTTATATAAGAAGAAGAGAGGGATTTATTTAGAATCAAACCTAAAATTTAATGCGAGTCAAACTAAAGTAACAAAATATTATTTTTAAAAAATAATTATCAATCATTTGATATTAAACGTATTATCTCTGACATTGCTATGATGGATCGGTCACTGGATTCGTGCATCTATTAGTAATACTTGATCAAAACAAATTTTTATATCCAGAACTTGAGATATTCAAATATTTTTAAAATTAAATATTTTATTTGAATATTTTCTAATATTATTTAAAGTTTTGAAATTGAGACGTCATGCATGGAGCCAACTAACTGTGCCTAGAAAGGCAAGCAAGCCTTATCTTATATATTATATAATATTTAAATATTTGAACGAGACTTGTCCGTTTAACTCAGTTGGTAGAGCGCAAGGCTCTTAATCTTGTGGTCGTGACATCGAGTTCCATTGAGGGCAATTCATAAAGGAGGTTTTTCACGGAAGCTACTCTCAACCTGGCGTTGAGGGCAGCCTACTACCCTACCTCTTCCTTACTCCATTATATATGGGAATAGAGTCATCTAATTTTTTTTAATATTTGAACGAATAATTATTACCGACAATATTTAAATATTATATGCAATTTTATATTGTAATCGAAATAGTAGGTTGTACTGATATACAAATTAATATATCTTAAAAATGGATTAAATTATGTTTAATAAAAGAGATAATAATAATAATAATAAACTGATAGAAAGTAGTATATCTTTTTGCAATATTAATTTTTAGGGTAGTTATACCTAAGAAGCATCGACCAAGACCATTTAATTCTAGGTTGGTCCAACGCCTGTATGTTCTTTTGTATTTAAATCATAGAGAAAATCCTTTAAATGTTTATCAAGTTTTATAGTTTTCAGGTTTTTATTTTATTTTATAAATATTTATATCAGATGCATTATATACATAAATATAATATTTTATTTTATTATTATCATAGATGAAAAATTAATTATTATTATCAACGGTGGATATTTTGATTTTTGAAATATATATATATAATATTTTGAATATACTATCACGTGTGTGTATATATATATATATATATAATTATTTTAAAGTTGAATAACAGATTTTTAAATAAAGTGTATGAGTAGGCAACAACTTCTTATCAGTCATTTAACAGGTTGTGTACCTCTGATATATAGCTGACCAATTGATTAGAGAGAAAAATAAACTGTCCAACTGAATTCTATCTTTCAAATCACAATCCAGTTAATTTTCTTGCAGATAATCATGCAAATAACTGAGGTTTCCCTAACAGATTCTTTAATGAAGATGTTGATGTTCTTCATCGTTCAAGCACTGGTTTATCTCATCTTGTCTAACTCATCCCACGTTTTCTCCGAAAACAAGATGAGATCTTCGTCGAGCTTCAAATCTGCTCGTTCGTTAAGCTTTCTCAGGATTCTGGATTCCATCTCGGAGTTGCCCCAAGGTTTCAAGCTACCGTCACCGTCTTCGAGGAGCTTAAGATCAACAATTGAAGAATTGCCTGAAGGATATAGAACCTACTGAATTGTAGAGTTGTGGTAAGAAATAAGATCAAATATTTCAGTTAGTTGTAGTTTATGTCAAACTATATTTTGATTCTTTGATATTGAAAAGAGAAAATCGCCTCAGTGACCAAAAATGCCTTATAATATACGATTTTAACCAACTTTTTTTGGATTTGCCAAAATGACCAACAAAATCGCAACGCGAAATAAAAATCGCAACGCGATCCCCAGAATCGCAAATCAGTTTCCAAAATCGCAACGCGATTCTTAAAAATCGCAATGCGATAGTACAAATTCGCATTGCGATTTTCCAAAATCGCAACGCGAATATGAAAATCGCAACGCGAACACATAAATCGCAACGCGTATCCGTAAATCGCAACGTGTATCCGTAAATCGCAACGCGTATGGGTAAATCGCAATGCGTATCCGTATATCGCAACGCGTATCCGTAAATCGCAACGAGAATCCGTAAATCACAACGAGAATCTGTAAATCGCAACGATAATCCGTAAATCGCAACGAGAATCTGTAAATCACAACACTGAAATTTTGGGTATATAACACTGAAATCATAAACTAAATCCCTAAATCGCAACTCATTCCATCTCCATCTATCACTCTCTCCGGCGACATCCGTTCCTATATCCAACGACATCCTTCCCAATCCGGCAACAGGTTTTAGTTTCGCAGCTCGTCTGTTTAGTAAATTAATTTACAACCATGAAATCATCTAATGTTGATCATGTTTGGATAGATTTGTGTTTTGGAGGGTCATGGGATAATGTTCATGGTGTTTTACAATATATGCCTTTACCCATGAATCTTCAACTAAAATTGTCTTTACAAAAGTTAACTTATGAAACTCTAATGCTACGTGTTTCAAATAAATTGAATTTAGAGCCCCTAAGTGGATTTAGGCTATCTTATCAGAGAAATGGTAAAGTTTATTTGTTAACCGACAATGAAGATGTTGAACGATTCATTGCTTACATTAGTGTTTCACAAGATGATGTTACATTGTATGTTGTTGAACCTAGAAGTAGTATTGTTGGGTCAGTAGCGGTAGTAATCAACTAAGTTTTTCTCAAAACCCACAACCTTTCTCTAATCCAAATCCCAATCAACTTTCAGCACCAAATTCCGGTTTTCGTATTGACCAGTTAGACGATGATGAGCCAACAAAAAATTGTGAGTACTAGTCAGTATTCGAAATTTGGTCTTGGTCAATATCCGGACTTTGATATTGGTCAATACACGGATTTTGATGATGTTTCAGAAGAAGAAACAGACCCTGCGTGTAATGATTTTGATATTGGTCAATACCCGAATTTTGATGATGAAACAGCCGTTGCCGAAGAATGTATTGTTGATGATAATGAGGAGGAAGTTACGACTGTGAATGAACATGTTGAACATCCATTCTGTAATTCATATAATCCTGAAGAAGAAAAAGAAGAAGAAAAAGTCCCCGAAGAAAAGAAAATGCCACGGGCGTATAACTGGAATATGCCAGAATTACTTCAGATACCGGAAGAAGAGTTGATAAAGAAAGCAGTTGATTGTTACACAAAAGTTATTCGTATCAAGAAAGATGATTGTTTTGATACAAAGGAAGACTTGAAGATAGCTTTGTATACGAAATGTGTGGAAGATGGCTATCAACTAAAAGTTAACAAATCAAGCAAAGATCGTTTTGAAACAAGGTGTATGATTGACAAAAACTGTACGTGGCGTATGATTGCAAAGAGAATAAAAGATTGCAAAATGTTTCAAGTTAGGACTTTTATTGATAAACATACATGTTCAAGAACCCAAGTTTTCCTCACCATAGACAGGCAAACAAAAGGTGTTGGGTGGTTTCTGGCTGAGTTAATGTTTTTGAATGGCAGGGTATATCGGGGACATGAAATTATGACTGACATGAATGCTCGGTTCAAGATTAGTATATCATATTCTCAAGCTTGGAGAGCCAAATGTTATGCCTTGGAATTGTTGAGGGTGTTTCCCAGATGCTTTTCATGGACTTTGTGGTGTTCATTTGTATAGAAATCTAAAATCAAGGTCTGCTGGTATAAAAAAGCACAAATGGACATACTGGAAGGCTGTAAAAGCTTATCGGGAAGTGGATTTCAATAAGCATATAAATTGTTTAAGACGTGTTTTGCCTCAGTGTGCTCAAACAGTAGAAGATGTCGGGTTTGAAAGATGGTCAAGAGTACATCAACTTGGAGCAAGATATGGTTTCACGACGTCTAATAGTGCAGAATCAATCAACGCTCTAAGTCGTCATTCCCGGAAATTACCCATTACTATGTTAATGGAGTTTTTCGAGCCTCTATTCAACAGTGGTACTACAAGAAAAGAAACCATGCAGGTATTATTTCTTTGAATTCGTAACTTATCATATTTATATATTTACTAAGTATTGTTTATTTAAATTTACAGGAACATTGGAACATCGTGTTACACCATGGACTGAAAAAAGATAACGAAACGTGTTGTGAAGTCAACGTCATGGAGAGTTGAACCATGTTCAAACACTTTGTTTCAAGTACTGGATAATAACTTAAATGGGCTAGTCGATCTAAATGCAAAGACGTGTAGTTGTATGAAATGGAAAACATCTGGTTATCCGTGTGGCCATGTTATAAAAGTTGCTCTTCATTTAAACCAAGATGATTCAAGCGCATACGCTATGGATTGCTACACTACAGA